ACTTTGTGCCTTGCCACTGTGTCTGCGTCCGACCCTCAGTCCGAGTCCGTCGTGTCGAGTGAGTGAGTGTGTGTGTGTGCTCTCACTCTCTCCCTCTCTCTCCTCTCCCTCGGCTCACCCTCAGCCTCACCCTCGTTACACAACATCTCAGCATCTTTGTGACCACGTACTGACCTATCTCGTTGCATGTTTCCCTCCCCCCCCCTTCCCCGCCCCCCCTCGATTTATGCATGTACATCCTTGTGCAGGGGCCATGCTAATCTTCATTCTCTGTGTCGTTCCAATGTGAACGGACGTCCCGAAGCAATCGTTGCATTGTTATAACTATATACTGTGTCAGCGCGACTCAGCGAGAGAAATATACCGTTGCATGTCAACCCCCCCCTCCTCCCGCCCCCCCCACCCACCCCTCCTCCTGACCGCTTATACATATAACTATTTATCACAAGTGAGAGAGATTATTCGAAGATATTCCTTCTCGCTGTGAAAACCACATCATCTCATCGTACTCAGTTGGAAAACGCTGTACTGAACCTTGTTTGGAGTGCCAAACGTGTCCGCAGGCCCACGGAGCTTTCAGAGACCTGGATGGTCCAACATGCAGGTGGCATGACCCCAAAAGGAGTCAATTTTGGACATCCACTGTGCATCATCAAAGGGGGGTCTGCAATGACCTGACCTGGGTTCAAAACCCAGCTCGGGAACCTTTTGCATCTGAAGTCTGAGTCGACAAGGTTACTGAGCTGTCAAAACCACCCTCACTATCGGTAGCACATCATCCAGATCGCCGTTCAGGTCAAAGTCAAAGGCCTTCGGAATGCAGTCTCAGGAAAAAACGTACAGAATCATACAATAGGGTATAAGTTCCGTAGAACCAGCATTGCAAAAGTCAAAGTCAGAGTCAAAGTCAAATTCAAAGTCAAAATCACTAGCATTGCAAAAGTCAAAGTCACAGTCGAAGTCAAAGTCAAAGTCAAAGGGTCGTAAGTTTGGAGCAAACACAAGTTCCGGGTCAAAAGTTGGTTGCTCATTGTGTAAAACGTCTCTAAAAGAGTCCTTAGGTTGGTAGGCCTTGGGGTCAACAGCCAGATTGGAGTTCCCAGGGGCCTCTAGAACTCCGAAGTAGGCCCTCAGAAAGTAAGAGATGGGCCCAAAGAAGTCGAAGAGATAAAAGAATCCACAAAAGTGAACCGCGGGCCGAGGATAGCAGAGGCCCAGGACAGCTTTCCGAAGCGCACACACACACACACACACACACACACACACACACACACACAGAGCGAGCGAGCGAGCGAGCGAGAGAGAGAGAGAGAGAGAGAGAGAGAGAGAGAGAGAGAGAG